GTCGCAATTAGAGATACCACCCATCAATGGGCGGGTTGTGGTCAACATGCCGCCCAGCGGCATGGAGGTGGATGTCGATACAACTATTGAACTTATTCAGTTGGAGGCAAGCGCTGTGCGGAGTCTCCTGGGTACCTTAACAAAACCTGAAGTTTCCCACTTGGTGTCGGATCTTAAGCAGAATGCCGAAGTCTTGCAGCTGCATCTCGAAGAAGTTTTAGCCCTCAACAAATCTTCACGCCAAAAAGAAGCACCTTCTGCCGAGCGTGGTCTCCTCTACAAGGCTCATTTATCCATGGCAGGAACGAAAATTCATGCTACTGCTCCAGGTCTCAATGGTAAGGAATACTCCGCTGATATGGACTTGAATTTGGGAATGATACGCATGCGACTCGACAATGGATTGGACCAAGGGCGTCCGATGGAGTTCCCGGAGTTTCATATAGACGCTTCGAATATCATCTTTGATTTGAAGAAACGTGAAGCAGTTCAAAGTCGTTCGTTCTGCAGTATTGCTGTGGAAGCTAAACTTCAGGGGACGTCCGTGACACGTGAAGATGGGGAGGCCAGGCGAGCGTATCATCTGAACAGCAAGAAGTTCGACATCGAGCTCTTTTCCGAAACGGCAGCGCTGGTTGTTGATATTGCTAGCCATCTTCAGGATCGCATCAAAACGCTCGACTTATCTCACGAGGTCAAGCGACTGAGAAAGTTACGCCGTCGTGGCCATGCAGAGTTAACTGCTCAAACCCCAGAGATCCCAAAGATCACGATCAGCGATGAGACAATTCCCAATGACTTATTCAGGGACATGTATTCATTGGATTTGAACAATATTCAGATCGGATGGAACATGTCCACCTTGCCACGGCATAGATCGGGGCGCAGGCCTGATGATCTGGTTTTCAGTATCAAGCGCGTGGATCTGTCAAATAGCAGAACCAATGCTGCCAAACTTCGAATTGAAAACATGCAATTACAGATGGTGCCGGCTTCTGGTGATCGGCGGAAGCGTTCGCTTAACTCCGCGCTCATGCCTGAACTGGTGTTCAATGTGGCATATTCTTCAAACGAAACGGAGATTCTGCTGGCCCTCCAGGCCGCTGGAAAGTCGCTCGACGTGCGAGCAACATCTGACTTCATCCTCCCAGCCAGTATGATACGGGATTCAATCGCTTCTGCTAGCCAAATCATACGTGACGCGGATTCTGTCTTGGTTGCGAAGCCAAACGTCGAAAACAACAAACAGCGTTCTCTCTTTGGAAACAAACGTCTACGCTCTGTACTAGTAGATGTTGACTTTGCGGGAGCTATTCTGTCTCTTCAGAGCAAATCCACCGACGATCAACAGACATTGCTGACTGCATCTTGGACGGGAAGACGCCGGCCGGAAGCCAGGTATGGGCAGTACGTCCAAGGAGATGCAGCGACCACTGCGACACTCAGAGCCCCTGGAGTGGCGGTCAAGGTTCAATTTGAGGACAATGGCAAGGATGTATCCGCGTTGAACGCTGAATTAAAGATTGATGCCTCGACAAATGTCCTATACCCGTCGCTTGTTCCTGTAATAAAGCAGATGACCGCCGCCATTAAGGAGGTCATGGAAGGCCACGACAAGCCAAGGAAACCATCCAGTGCCGCCATGTTACAGCCGCAGAAACTAATGCAGGAGACCCCGTTTGACACGAAAGATGCGGCCGCGATTCTTGGCCGTTGCAAGGTGAATGTCGGGGTTTTGATTCGCAAACAGGAGTTCAGCCTTAGCTGCCAGCCCATCGCTAGAGTAGCGGCCACGGCAGGCTTCGAGAGCGTCTACATAACGGTCAACACGGTGCAGTCCGATGAGCAGGGAAGATTCTTGGCGCTTCTGGTAGCTTTCAATTCCTTGCAGGCATCAGTCAAGCATGTGTACTCGAACGAGTCCACTGCGAGCTTTGATGTGAAGTCCATCGTCATGTCTCTCATGAATAGCAAACATCTGAGCAGTTCGAAAGGCATTTCAGCTGTGCTTCGAGTCAGTCCGATGCAAGTGATGCTTAACGCAAAGCAAGTTCAAGACCTCCTCCTCTTCCGTGAAATCTGGGTTCCTTCCAATGAAGAGACGAATAGCGGCAGGACATTTCAGCCGGAGTCAAACGAGCCTCAGGCTTACATCGTTCAGCGTTACCAACAAGTGGCAGCAGCGCCAGCATTTCCGTGGAATAGCGCGGTTGCGATTGAGAAACTAGAGATTCAGCTTGATCTGGGCTCTACGCTTGGAAAGGCACAATTCGCAGTCAACGATTTGTGGCTGTCGTCGAGGAAGACATCTGATCGAGAACAATCACTCAGCATTGGTTTCAAGTCTACTGAGATAGAAAGTAAAGGCCGGATGAGCGGGTCGGTCGAGCTCCAGACCCTGAAGATTCGCACATCCATTCAATGGCCGGACGAGAAGCCTAATGTGCATTCTGTTCCACTCATTCAGGCCTCCATCTCTTTCCAACAGCTGCAAGCCAAGGTCTCTTTCGATTACCAACCGTTCCTAGTCGCCAATATCTCAATGTTCGATTTCCTGATGTATAACGTCCGAGGCGGCAATGGTGCGCCTAAACAGCGGCTCTTCAGCATTCTAGAAGGAGATAAAGTCCAAGTATTCTGTACTAGCTTGACTGCGTCGCAATGTCTGGCGCTGATCCAAGGCTGGCAGCGGCTGGCCCAAGACAAACAAGCAGCGTACGAAGCATCACTGCGCGAAGTCGAGAGATACCTGCGCAGGAGAACATCGGTGTTTACGGAGAAAATGGAACCCCAAGCCAAGGAGTTGGCCAAGAAGACGAAAGACGCCAACGCTGAGAAGGCGCCTATATCTCTCAACACCGGGGTGGTCGTGAGCATCACTGACGTCAATCTCGGTGTTTTCCCGAGCTCTTTCTTCGATAACCAGATTTTCAAACTGGAGGCACACGATGCACAGGCACGGTTCTATGTCTCGCTCAAGGAGGGCAAGATACACAGTGCGCTTGGGCTCACGCTGGGGCAGCTGCGCGTCGCTCTTTCGGCCGTCAACCGTCCCACATCTACGGATATTGAGGATCTTCTAGTCAATGAGATAGTCAGTCGCGCCATAGGGTCTCGCGGGGGAACGATCCTCAAGGTGCCTCGGCTTATGGCTAGTATGGAGACTTGGCAGACCCCGGGCCTTCCGCAGATAGAGTACATCTTCCGCAGTACTTTCGAAGGCAAGGTGGATGTCGGATGGAACTATTCGCGCATCAGTTTCATTCGGGACATGTGGGAACGCCATTCCCGTGCGTTGACGTCTCGACTCGGCAAGCCGCTACAGCCGTCGGCGGTTCGCATCACTCGAGGACCGGGGTCGGAGGGAGACGGGGATAAGCAAGAGGAGAAGATTACAGCGGTGGTCAACGTACCCCAGTCCAAGTACACATATACGGCTTTGGAACCACCAGTGATCGAAACGCCCCAGCTACGGGATATGGGCGAGGCCACCCCACCGTTGGAGTGGATTGGGCTCCAACGGGACAAGCTGCCCAACATCACGCATCAGATCGTTATTGTGACGTTATTGGAGATTGCAAAAGAAGTAGAGGATGCATACGCAAAGATTTTGGGATCATCCTGAGCATATTTCGCATTGTTCCCTCTACAAGGCCGTTGGTCTCTGTATACCACGTGGGCTGGTGTTTGATCAACCACATAGGTGGTTCAGAAATGGTCATCGGACATGCTCTTCTGGGGGTTCTCCAGATTGATTCCGAGTCGTTAATAGTCTACCTGCATTGTGCATAATGTCTAATACTGTATATAATTTAATATCAACTCATCAATAATGATACATCGGCCTGCATGAAGCTTGCTACACTTGAGATGACTGAATGTGGTAAGCAATGTGCCGCATGTAATTATCAAGCTACGAGCTCATTAATTCCTAACTCCGCGTCTGATAAATTAAGCGGTGAGGTGGGGAAAGCCTTTCACACAAACTCTCATTGGTTGCTGAGCATCTCTTTCCTGAAAAATTTTCTTGCTTTTCTTTCCGAGCTCAGTGGAGCTAACTGTATTTAGTAAGCGGGGTATCTTTAGCTCACATTTCGAAACGAGTAGGTAACAGGAATCGACAGTGCAAGTGGGCTGATGAGGTGTAAGGTAACTGTGATACAGTCACTGAAATAATCGTGATATCAGTGTCTTGAACCCAACGCCACCCTTCAATGCCCTCTTCAAGAGGACAGAGTTTAGGCAGCCTCAAATATGGGTAGCTAGCTCTGAGGAAGCTTTAAAGCTATAGCTGTAGCTAGACGAGTCATAATGTGACTCAAATGAAGGGAAGAACCACGGTGGAAGAGCTCTGGCAAGTCTGGCTACTCAGTTCATAGGTCATCCACAAGGGAAGGAATATAGTGCGAGTCAAACTGGTCAATTCCTCTAGTCAGTCATTATATGAGTGCGAGTTTGCCATGTCCATGGCGGCGTTGATGATTTCTAAGCTCTGCTGAATACTACATAGTACAGAGCAGTGATGAGGGGCACATAGGTACGGTACCTAAGGTATCAAACCTCCAGGGCTTTGTAGGCCGTAAGACGATAGGAAAAATCTGAGGGGCAATAATAATAATGGCAGGGCAACAGTACGGAAAGGAAAACGCACATCCCAGATTTCAAAATCAGAGGGTAAAAAAAAAAGAATTCCATTGCACAAATAATATTGCAGCGTCCCCACCCGCCGTCCCTTCCTCGCTTTCCCTCCCTCTTTTTCCCCTCTTCCCACCACCACCGCACTTCAACTTCCTTTTTCCCACCTCAGCCCGCTTCTTGAGCAGCGCACATAGGTCCTTTACGTCCTAATCAATTTCTGCTGTCAGGTCGAGCTAGTCCTCGATCCTGATCATCTGTGTGTCGTTTGTTCTTGCTTTTGACTTTTCTTTTTCTTTCCCTCTACCTTTTCACCTTATCTCACAACCCCGCCTCTACGGCTTAAAAAAGAAAAACCCGTCAAAATGGTTAAGTAGGTTCTCACTCTTTCCTTGACGATACTCGAATTCTCGAGCAACGAAGACCACAATCTGGATGGGATGGAAATGAAGATCGCTAACATGCTGTTTATAGCTTCACTATCGAAGAGGTTCGTTGATCCCCGCGCCGTGTTTGCCAAGCCCACTCTTTTGAAAGAGAGCAAGAAGAGCAGAACAGAGCTACGAGATGAAGGACAAACAAAACTAACTATGAGCAGATCCGGTCCCTCATGGACCGTCCGGCCAACATCCGGAACATGTCCGTCATTGCTCACGGTACGTAGCTTCGCGAAGAGGAAAAGAAGACAGGAATTTTCTTGATTACAAATACTAAGAAATATTGGATGATAGTCGATCACGGAAAGTCGACTCTGACCGACTCCATGATCCAGCGTGCCGGTATCATCTCGGCTGCTAAGGCCGGTGAAGGTCGTTACATGGACACTCGTCCCGATGAGCAGGACCGTGGCATTACGATCAAGTCGACTGCCATCTCCCTGTATGCCAAGTTCCCCGATCCGGAGGATCTCAAGGAGATCCCCCAGAAGGTCGATGGTGCTGAGTTCCTGGTCAACTTGATCGATTCCCCCGGTCACGTTGATTTCTCCTCTGAGGTCACTGCCGCTCTCCGTGTCACTGACGGTGCCCTGGTCGTCGTCGACACTGTTGAGGGTGTCTGTGTCCAGACCGAGACCGTCTTGCGTCAGGCCCTGACCGAGCGTATCAAGCCTGTCCTGATCATCAACAAGGTCGACCGTGCCCTGCTCGAACTTCAGGTTAGCAAGGAGGATCTCTACCAGTCCTTCTCTCGTACCATTGAGTCCGTCAACGTCATCATCTCCACCTACCATGACAAGGCTCTTGGTGATGTTCAGGTCTACCCCGACCGCGGTACCGTTGCTTTCGGTTCCGGTCTCCACGGATGGGCTTTCACCGTCCGCCAGTTCGCCGTCAAGTACGCCAAAAAGTTCGGTGTTGACCGTAAGAAGATGCTTGAGCGTCTCTGGGTGAGTGGAACCATTTCTCCAGAAGCAGAACATAACCAGCCAGCTAACACGTCTCACAGGGTGACAACTACTTCAACCCCAAGACCAAGAAGTGGACCAAGACCGGTGAGCCCGATCAGCGTGCTTTCAACATGTTCATCTTGGACCCCATCTTCAAGATCTTCGCTGCTGTCACCAACGACAAGCGGGAGGAGATGCTCACCCTCGTTGAGAAGCTCGAGGTCAAGCTTGCCAACGACGAGAAGGACCTTACGGGCAAGGCTATGCTCAAGGTCATTATGCGCAAGTTCCTGCCCGCCGCTGATGCCATGTTGGAGATGATCTGTATCCACCTGCCCTCTCCAGTCACTGCCCAGAAGTACCGTGCCGAAACTCTGTACGAGGGTCCCATGGACGACGAGTGCGCTATTGGTATCCGTGACTGTGACCCCAAGGCTCCTCTCATGCTTTACGTCTCCAAGATGGTTCCCACCTCTGACAAGGGCCGTTTCTACGCCTTCGGTCGTGTCTTCGCCGGTACTGTCAAGTCCGGTCTTAAGGTCCGCATCCAGGGTCCTAACTACGTCCCTGGCAAGAAGGAGGATCTCTTTATTAAGGCCATCCAGCGTACCATTCTGATGATGGGTCGTTTCGTTGAGCCCATCGAAGATGTTCCTGCTGGTAACATCGTTGGTCTGGTTGGTGTCGACCAGTTCCTGCTCAAGTCTGGTACCCTCACCACCTCCGAGACCGCCCACAACCTCAAGGTCATGAAGTTCTCCGTCTCCCCTGTCGTCCAGCGTGGTGTTGAGGTCAAGAACGCCCAGGATCTGCCCAAGCTGGTCGAAGGTCTCAAGCGTCTATCCAAGTCTGACCCTTGTGTCCTGACTATGATCAACGAGTCTGGTCAGCACATTGTTGCCGGTGCCGGTGAGCTGCACCTTGAAATTTGCTTGAAGGATCTCGAGGAGGACCACGCCGGTGTCCCTCTCCGTATCTCGGACCCTGTCGTCTCCTACCGTGAGACTGTCGGCGCTGAGTCCAGCATGACCGCGCTGTCCAAGTCTCCCAACAAGCACAACCGTCTCTACGTCACTGCTCAGCCCCTCGGCGAGGAGGTCTCCCTCGCCATTGAGTCCGGCAAGATCAACCCCCGTGACGATTTCAAGGCCCGTGCCCGTGTCCTCGCTGACGACTTCGGCTGGGATGTTACCGATGCCCGTAAGATTTGGTGCTTCGGTCCCGACACCACCGGTGCCAACTTGCTGGTTGACCAGACCAAGGCCGTCCAGTACCTCAACGAAATCAAGGACTCTTTCGTCTCTGGTTTCCAGTGGGCCACTCGTGAGGGTCCCATCGCTGAGGAGCCTTTGCGCTCTGTCCGCTTCAACGTCCTTGATGTGACCCTGCACGCTGATGCCATCCACCGTGGTGGTGGTCAGATCATCCCCACTGCTCGTCGTGTCCTGTACGCCGCTACCCTGCTTGCCGAGCCTGGTCTTCAGGAGCCCATCTTCAACGTCGAAATCCAAGTTCCCGAGCAGGCCATGGGTGGTATCTACGGTGTCCTCACCCGCCGTCGTGGTCACGTCTACAGCGAAGAGCAGCGTCCTGGTACCCCTCTGTTCAACGTCAAGGCTTACCTGCCTGTCAACGAGTCCTTCGGTTTCAACGCCGATCTCCGCCAGGCCACCGGTGGTCAGGCCTTCCCTCAGTCCGTCTTTGACCACTGGTCTATTCTTCCTGGTGGTTCTCCTCTTGACCCCACTACCAAGCCTGGTCAGACCGTTGCTGAGATGCGTAAGCGCAAGGGTCTCAAGGAGCAGGTTCCTGGCTACGAAAACGTAAGTTTCTGGTACACTGTGATCTCACTTAAATGCGTTGCTAACACTTTTCACAGTACTACGACAAGCTGTAAAAATGTTCCATACCCGCCTGATATGTTTTCAGTCAGTCCTGGCTGCGAATATATGTTTATGAGATTGACGAACCCTCTACATTGTCTATGAAAAGACAAGGAAAATTTCAATGAGCAAAATTTCAAAACGAGACACAACACGGGCTTGGTTCATGTCGTATATGGGTTTTCGAATACCTAGAGAAGTAGAATCCAGGTGTGCGCGTGCATTCGCTATGGCTTCCTATAATCTATTTGTTACGTTTACGACTGCGAGGGCTCTTTAAATAGTTTACTTGCTGTTCTTTGCTTGGACATGAAAAATTTCATTCAGTAGTTCAAAAATCTCTGTACTTTCACAATTGTAGATCCCTCCGTAGATTTGATTCCTCCCTATAGGTAATTTCTGCACGCTCATCACGTGACTCAACCGTCATCCGCGTCGTTCGCGTTTCCCCAGCTTCGAGACGCAAAGCTCTGTCCCACACCCCCTCATGCTTTACCTCGCACGATGACCTAGATTGACCTCTCGATATTGCTGGAGGCCTGATATCTAGAACCCCTTCTATTCAGTCGGAGACGCTCGACGACACCAATTAAGTTCGTTTTCGAAACCACATAGGCTACATTCACACCCGTGCTCGAAAATTGCCGGAGCGTCCTCTCAGTACCAGGTCGCATTCCTACAAGAAGTCGGCTTTTCGTTTCGGCTACGAACATGCAGCTCACCGAAGACGAGGCGACCGAGGTGAAGAAATGGGTGGTGAAAAAGTTGGAAGACATGTAGGTTGACTCGGTCACAGCGCAGATGCGTACCATTGCATAGGTTTGCCTGGACTCGAAAACGCTGACCACGATTGGCATCGTTTCATTACAGATCAGATGCTGATTCGGATGTGCTTGCGGACTACGTACTTGCGCTTATTCGGTCAGACGCTCCCGATGATGAGATCAGGAAGGCGTCGGTAGAAAATTTGGAGGACTTTTTGAGAGAGCGTAAGTGTTGGTGCATGGGACACAGAGCTCTCGTTGCTGAACTGTCACTGCTTTTAGATACCACGCAATTTGTCGATGAGCTGTTCGCCACCTTTGGCCCGAAGCAGCAGGCTCCTCCGGCCGTCTCACACCCTCAGACCCAGCCCCCGCTCACTCATGATCTACCACAGCCTGTGTCCGTCCCCCAGCAAGCGTTCCCGTACAATGTGGCCTCCGGCCCTTCTACAGGTGCTTACGGACCGCCAATGGGCGGCGCCCCCCAGTCGCACACAGCTCCTGACGGCTCGAATTTTAACCGGAAGCGTACCTACCACGAGGGCTTCCAGACAGAGCAGGAACGTGAAGATGTACCCCACAATAGGACCTTCAAGACACCTCGTCGAGGGCGCGGAGGCGGCCGTGGTGACTGGATGGGTCGCGATGGTCGGGCACCCCAGGGCGCGCCTGGTCAGTTCCCTCCTGCTGGCGCTGGGTTCCCGGTCATGCCACCATCATTCCCGGCATTCGATCAAAATGACCCGATGGCGGCGATGATGGCCCTACAGGGCATGGGGTTTCCTCAGATGCCAGGGATGCCTCCAATGCCGATGGCGGCTCAAGGTGGTGCTGGTCAGCCCCAGGAGCAAATGATGGCCAAGTCATCTGAGCGGTGCCCGTTCTACGAGACGCAAGGCATCTGCTACCTTGGGGCAGCCTGCCCCTACCAGCATGATACCGGTCCCACCGCAAAGGAAGACGGTAAGCAATCAGCATCTTGCTCTGGGTGCAGACTATTGTTAATCAGTGATCCTACAGAATATGACCCTAAATCAGCTAGTATCATGGTGGACTTTCAAAGACGAGACGGAGGCCCGATGCGCGGCAGTGACCGAGGTCGTGGCCGTGGCCGCGGTGGCGATAGAGGCGGCTTTGGAGGCCGAGGGCGTCGGTCTGAGTTCTCTACCGCTGGTCCCAGCGACGATCCCTCCATGAAGACGATTGTTGTGGAACAAATTCCTGATGACAAGCTCGACGAGGCTACGGTGCGGGAGTTCTTTGCCCAATACGGCGAGATCGTTGAGATCTCGTTGCAACCGCACAGGAAACTGGCCTTGATCACGTACGATAGCCACGCAGCAGCCAAGCGGGCATGGTCCAGTCCTAAGGTCATCTTTGACAATCGGTTCGTCAAGGTTTACTGGCATAAGCCCAAAGCCGAGAGAAACGGTGACCAACGACCCGCGGGAGACGCAATGGACGAAAGCCCCGTGTTTGATCCTCAAGAATTCCAAAGACAGCAGGAAGAAGCGCAGAAGGCGTACGAGGAGAAAATGCGCAAGCGAAAGGAGACCGAAGAGGCCAAACAGAAGCTGGAGAAACAGCGAGAAGAACTCCTCAAGAAGCAGCAGGAGGAGAAGGAGCGGCTCTTACAGAAACTCGGCGCCAGCGCTACAAGCAACGGCACGACTCCTGATGGCGAAGCTCGTCACTCCCCTGCCGACGAAAACGCAAGCGAGCAGACGAAGCAGCTCCGCGCGCAGCTGGCGGCTCTCGAGGCCGAAGCCAAGACCCTTGGAATCGACCCCAACGCCTCGGAAGCGGGCGCGTCACCGTCCTCCTACCGTGGTCGGGGACGAGGATATGCAGGCTACCGTGGCGGCTTCGCTCCACGTGGTCGCGGATACGCTCCTCCATATCGCGGAAGCTTCCGTGGGCGAGGTGCTGCCCGTGGCCGCGGCGGTGTTCTCCGGCTTGACAACCGGCCCAAGAGAATCGCTGTCTCTGGTGTGGATTTGAATACGGACAAGGATGAAGCGCTGAGACAGTTCCTCATTGTAAGCATTCCCCCTTCCCTGAGCTCACCAGCATCGTCCAATTACTGACAACTGCCTTCCCAGGGCGTCGGCGAGTACGAGTCCATCGAACCTCACCCTGAACAGCCAAGCACTGTCGTCGTGGCCTTCAAGGAGCGCTACCAAGCCGAGAAATTCATGCGCGGGCCGTGGAATATCCCATCCGTCGGAGAGGTCCAGCTCACCTGGGTCCCCAACCCTCCCATGGTTGTTGGTACACTTGCTCAGATCACGGGCCCTGGCTCGGATACTAAGCCGACTTCGGACGAAGATACAGTCATGGAGTCTACGGCGGGCTCGTCTCTCCCTGCGGATCAGCTCAATGCTCGCAAGGATGGAAACCACGACGTTGATTACGACGTTGCGGAGATGGATGACAGCTGGGGTGTAGAGTAGACGATCCTTGACACTTTTGAGCATCATGTACGGATATCATGGTTGGCGTTATGTTTGTGATTTTTAAAAAAGGAAGTTAGATCTTTGCTTATTCTGCAGAGAGAACCGTGTCTATCCCAGTGTTGTCAGACCTGCGTTCAGGTGTATTTACAGCCTTGAACAATGTACATTGTCAAGGGTTCCACTAAAACGGCCTTTTGCCCTTGCTAGCCTCAATGCAAATCCTGAGGAATCAGTTCCACGAGATATCCGTCCTGCAGCGAGTGAGTTTCATGCCACAGCACATTGCTCGATTCTTTGAAGGATAATGAGCTTACCGGATCAGCGATATACGCAATTTGATCAAACAGATTCTGATAATTCGGATGGATCTCGCCCACACCGACTCCCCTTTCCTCCTCCCAAGAACTCAACGGTACACTCTCGCGCGAACTATTACCCAACTCCTTGATGATTGGGACCCCTTCCTTCCTTAGCCTCTCCAATGTGCCCGCAACATCCGGGACCGTAAACCCTAAATGTCCGAAGCCGAGATGCGGTGGCGTATTGCCAGTGGACATGTTGAAGCCGCCCTCGGCGTCTGCTTTTTCTGTCCCGTGGACATGGTACAGCTCCAGCAGTCCTGGGGTCTGCGTGAGGACTGGGGGGTTAGCGACTCGGGCAGACCAGGAGGGCAGGTCGGCTCGGTCTTCGGATGTGGGAGGGTAACCCAGGTAGTATAGTGTGAAAGGGCCAGCATTCATGATGAAGACTGTGCGCATGCCCATGAGCTTGATGTAGAAGTGGAGCGAGCGCTGCGGGTTGCGGACTCGGAGCATGAAGTGATTCAGTTTGTAGCCAGCCGTGGGGCTGTTTTCCGGGAGCGGAGGGTCATTGTTGTGGCCGCCGGGGAGAAAGACGCCAGGCTCAAAGGGAGAAGAGGAGGATGATAACGCCGATGAGCTTGGGGAGTTTGAGCCTTGGTCTGTACTCATTTTTGTTCCTGGATTGATATTGCAGGGCGCTTAGCCCTTAACAGGCGAGGAGAGATGGGAGTATTCTGAAATGCGGGGTGATAAACAATAGACCAGTTATTACGGGGATATGATTATGCTGGATAGATCAAATGCACAGTAGGAGGACTTCAGCTTCTGAAGATAATGAGATTGTTGACAGATAGATTAATCCAAGATAGTTAGAGCAAAGCAACGTGCACCCAGCGCTGGGGTATCGCAGTTGCAGGTTGCTGGCCTGATTGCACCAATGCTGCATACCAATCGCAATGTGTCCAAGGCCCCCACAAAGGGCGATAAAGGTGTCTATTCGGCGACCTGCAAAGCATAATTCACAATACAACTTCCTGCATGGAACCGAATCGGGCTCATATCAAAGCCAAAACTTCAGGAAAGATGCCAGAATATTGTACAGTCTCAAGCGATTGTCCCTGTCTCTTCAGAATTTTGATCTAGCGCAAAAAAGCAACCGATAGATAGCTTGCACCTGGATGAACTTGGCAGGGCCCCATCAAATTCTCAATAGATGGCCCAAAGTATGAGATATAGCGGACATGTAGGATTATGCAATGCTGTAAGACCAAAAATTCGCAATGAACATGCTCCAAATATGATGCCATGCAAAACAGATAGTGATAGGCTCAAGGAGGCGCCAAGAAAGGAAAGTAGTGAGAAAAATCGTGAAAGGACTTTCCCTTCTGAGGGCCACCAAGGATGGGACAAAGGTCTGCTCAGTCGGAGAGAGCAACGGATGTCATGCGAACACTCAACCCACGAGATCAACGGTATCTATGTTTCCTTTCGTTATCGCTGTCGCTATCTTCCATCTGGTCAAGCATGCGATCGATCTCGTCCCCCGCTTGCGCTTCCAAGTAGCGAGCTTGACCTGCACGACGGTGATCCTCCCCGGCTGCCTGAGAGTCATTCGTTTGACTCCCGCCAGTGCTCGATTCTGTACTTAGTGATGTTTGGCTGATGTGCGAAGTACTTTGCTGTCTTTGGGAACTCGGGTGGTAAGCTGAATTACCAGGACTGGACATGAATAATAAGGTTTCAATTGCATCTTGTTCCATTGATGCATTTTGCGAATGCGTTGACTGCCTCGACAGGCCGTTATACGGCGTGGATGTCGGCTGAGATAACGATTGGAGGGGAGGCGTTCCCGGAATGAGAATCTTCTGTGAACCATCAGTAGTTCCATGCTGAGGACGGAGCTGCACGTCATCAGATGATGAGATGTAGCGTGAAGGTTCAAGTGCTTGGTTCGGATTCGGCCGCCTGCGGCGGGAGCCACTACTACCACTTGGAACAATGTCTGCGGGAGGTGCGAGTCTCGGTGTTGCCGACATTCTTTTAGATGAGAATGGTGAGACGGGGGAGTTTTTTAATGGGGAAACACATGATAGATCATCTGACCGTGCTGCAGGGGAGTGTCGTCCGTTTGGAGGGAAGAGATTGGACTGGATGGGCATATCTGGCGCGGAGACCGGCGAACCGACTGGAGAATCCGTGTCTTGCAGGCGCGAACCATCAGCCCCTTCAGCGTATGGTAGACTTTTGACAATGACTGGCGGAGTGGAGGAGCTTTCTTGTAGTAAACTCAATGGCAGTCTCGCCTGCGCGTCGAGAGATTGCCTGCTCTTCTCTATCTTGGCTGCGGCGTATGACAAACGAGTACGAAGGTGAACGGACAACTGAGTTTATGATATCAGCAACATCAGGACAAGGCAGAATATTGCATTACAAGGCCAATTTACCGCAGCGATCTTACTTCCACGTGAGCGCCAGCCGATACTCTCAGCTGGATGCCTCTCCGTGCTGATCGTTCCGAAACTAGAAGGAGGTGCTACTGATGTGTTCGAAGGCTTAATTTCACCCGTTGCGGTTCTTTTGTGACTGCGCACTAACTGGGGCGAGTGCTGAGCCCCTGGGATTGATGCAACGTCACATTCCTGCCCACTGAAAAGGTTACGCGAGGAAAGACCTCGAGTCAAGTTATTCCCTTGAGAGCTCAATGAGGGCTGCGACCGTGCAGTGTTTCCTCCGGGGAAAGTCCCCATTTCAGGCAACTGACCCCTGGATGCATGAGAAGAATCGAGATTGCTTCCTGATGCAACCGGCTCTTCTCGAGTCACTGGGGACTGCGGTGTCAGAGCCGGAGGGGGATTTGATGTTTGCTTAGCAACGTCGTGAGCTTTGTCGGGAACTTTGTCGCTCATGGAGACAGAGTGATTGTTCTCGCCAGCAGCAGATAAGCCGTCATTTGGACTGGTCAGATGCGCCGAAGGTGGCTCAGTAAATGGCACGTCAACATGCGACCCGCTCATAGCGACCAAGCGGTACCTAACAACGCGCTTGTCTGAGCGGCAACCTCCAATGACCCCAGCCCCGACAAGACTTGCAAGACTTGATTCGAGCCCAGATTAGAATCCAATAATGGGAACCCGTCCAGAAGGTGTCTGCAACAGACAGACAATTTTCCAGGACCAGCCAGGACGATCGCCAACCTCAAGTGGCACGAGTGACGATATCACCGCCCGCGATGGAGAGCTAGGTTGGTTTGGGAATGCAGCAAAGCGGGTGCGGAAGTGGAAAGCAGACAAGATGGAGAACGATTGGCTCCGACAGGTCTTTAATCCGAAAGCTTTCTTAAATTCGCTGCAAGGAGGTACTCCTGTAGTCTGCAGCTCTACTCAATACACGCGCAAGGCGTGATTGCGAAATGCGACAGCACAAGCGGCGACCCCGGCGACGGCATCAGCCACTCGATGATTCAACTGTCAACAACTTCCGTCCCCACACTGCGTCACGTCCCGATAATAGACAATTAGTTAGAAGTCTGTCAACAGCCAAGGGACAATAATGCAGGAAGGCATGTGGTATATATTCCCTTCACAGATAAGATTGAAAAGTAACAATTGGACGCTTACTCTTCCTTGATCATGGAATTGATTTGGTGGTCATCGAGAGGACGCGTTTCGCGCCACGGGTCACGTGCTGATTTTGCACTCTAGTGCCTTTTCAGATCAGAGCAACAGGCTGAATGCGGTAAATCAGATCTACTGTATATTGACTGATATAATACATACATATATTATATATATATATATATATATATAAAACAGACATCTGGAGGTATTTAGAAGAATAGATATCCAGATCGGAAGGTTGAATCAAACAACGCCATCCACAATGCAATATGTACGTGGATACTGCATGGACAGTACCACTTAAAAGAGACTTTTGACAACCGAACAGACCCATGGGATATTGTAAGACGAAGGGACATGGTAACCGAAGCAGAGCTGATATCACTTGCGTTTCTTGCCTCCTCCACCTTCTGCGTCTTGGTTCTTCCGCTTCCTCCCTTCCCGTCGCCAATATTCGTCACGCTCCCGCTTCTCTCGCTCCGCTTTCTTTTCAAGACTTTCCGCGACCTTGGCACGGTACACCTTACGACGCTCCTCTTGCTTCGCGGCTCGTTTGGCCTGCTTCTCATTCCGCAGAGTGGTGAGTTTCTGCATAAGGTCTCGCGCCTTCTTCTCCTCTCCTCCAAGCACCACCGCGCGTTTCTGCATGTAGGTCTTGTCCTTATGTGGCTTCATCCGGGTGATCTGGGATTTGAAGGGGAGGTCTGCGGCCAGCTGCCGTGGCACGCGAAGAGGGTTGAAATGACGAGTAGGCCGCTCAATCGGGCGATAGGCTGAGTCTTTATTCTGCGGAGTGGGGATACCCTTCTCGCGACGCACCTCACCGGTCAGACGCATACCCAGCCAACCGCTATCGCCCGAACCTTCTTCGTCCAAGTCGAGCAGGTTCGTCACCGGGTTGTAGAAACGGTGTGGCTTAATCGGGTACCATGCACGCAGGAAGACGATGTCGCTCATCAGGATCTTATCCTCAAAAGTGGCACGGAAGCATCCTTCGGGTTTGCTGAGGGCTCGTTTGATCTGACCACGAATGCCGGAGACAGTTCGGATCGAAGCACCCTCGAACTTGGCAATTTCA